TTTTTTTTTTTTTTTTTTTTTTTTTTGATAAAAATGAAGACTATAAATCGCCTGGATTCTTCGGTTAACGGTAAATTTTGCCGATCATGTAGCATATCACGAAATATTCGAATAAATGTTATTTACAGGTTGTGTAACGAGCGCTATTACTTGAATTACAATAAATCGTTTGAGAATTTTATAAATTTGTTATAACATTTTTTTCATAATCAATACATTTTATTGCATTTCTATTCAAGTTAAAGGTACATACAAATGTTGATATATAAGTAATATAACCAGGATTTTTATTTTTTAACCACTTAAACGCTATAATTTTTTTTTTAAAAAAAAATAAAATAAAATAAATATACAAAATAAGTAACCACAAAGTCAAAATATACTTGTTAAGAAAAATAATTTATAAAACAAATCAAAACCAAAATTATTTTCAAGGATAAATATTTATCAATCTCATATAATTTGAAATACTTCATATTCTTCTACTGAAAACCAATCAGTAACTCCTCTGATAGGTTTTTCATAATTATTATGATGACTACGCCCACGCCTATTATATAAAACAAGGTCACTGACTCCAAAATTTAAACCTGACGAGAAGGTATTATATGTAGCAAGAGATCCTTCATTTACACGACTTAAAATGTGATTTTCAATATTATTATTATCCTTAAAAGAGAATATAAAACTTTCTTTATTATAATTAAAATCTTCTTCATTATATTTAAAACTACTACCAGATTTCCATGCAACAGGATTATATCCTCCAAGAATTTCATTGCTATCTTCCACCTTAATGATTGCAACAGTCCCACGAAGTAATAATTTGAATGAATTATTCACAGTAGAACTAGTGTCCTTGACCTTAATATCATTATAAATAAATTTCGAAAATATTGAAGTAAAAGTATTTGAGCTATTTGAACCCTTCATATTAATCCATTTCAAAATTAATTCAGCATGTTGAGATGTAATAATCTTAGAGTCAATATTTTTTGAATCAATTTCAGAATCTTTAACATTCTTAATTATATTGGGTTCTGATTTTTTAATTGTTTGATTAATAGGATTTAAGTAATATTTTAATAAATCTTTATACAATTCCTTTGGTAAAATATTTTTATAGGGCAATACTTTGTCTGAAAATTCTTCAGAAGTTAAATTATAAAAATTAACAAATTGAGTACACTGTTGTAAACTGTTCCTTAAAGTACTAAAATCTTTCTTTGAGAAATTTGTAGGATCTGAGGAAAGTTCTGGATTTTGAGTATGTCCCCATTTAACCACATGTTCCCACATTTGAATTCACTCATTTGAAGTTTATCGTTTTGAATAAGTTTGACCAAAAGGTTTTCCGGAGATCTAATGATTTGAATATTTTATCTGGATTGTTATATATTAAGTCATTACAATAATCTTGAAGTTCTGAAAAAGAATTGTTTTCAAAAATTGTTTGATATATATCATTAAAATTTAGCTCCATCCATTCTGATTTATTTTCAATTAAAAATGATTGTAATAAGTTAATTAATTCTTGAAGATTAAGTTCGTTAGCAGCAATCAAGATTTTAATAATATCTGAAGTCTCATATTCATTCAAAGAAGTGTTCCACTATAAATATACTTAAAAATAAAAAAAATTGTTAGATTTTAATTTTAAAACAAAGATTAACTAATAGAGTTATTTACCTTAATATTATCTGAAAAATTTCAGGTAAAATATTTGGTAATTTAATATGATGTATCAAAGCTTTATCATCTTTCTTTTTATTGGTTGACAGAATTCTTCGTAAATAAGGAGAACGATAATATAAAATGACCTTATGAGCACGAAATATATTTACGTAAGGGTCATTTCCGACTTCAATAGTAATATCATAATATTCATCGTCATCCAAAATTTTGAGTAAATTTCGTGACAAGTTTTGTAATAGTTTATCATTAACCATTGTAATGTTTAATAATTTCAAAAATACAAAAGAAAAAAAAAATGCAGCATGTTAGAATTTACAACGTGTACTACGTGGTACTCATATGTAAGTGATTCGTCAGATTATGACGTAAATTTTTTTTTTTTTGTTTTTTAACGCATTTATTAATTATTTAAAATCGAATCGAATAATCGATTACATAATTATTTAAGTACCTAGAAAAATTATTAAATTAATTAATAAATTCTCTATAACTAAACAATCTTCTTATTTCAATTACTACTGACTAATTATAAACTAATCTAATCAACTAATTCTAAGTATAAAGAACAAAAATAACTAGGTGTCGTATCTAGTTCTAACAGTGCTATAAAATTTTCCAGAATTTTCTAATTGGTTTATATTCTGTATTGCTTAGTCTCCGGTTACTAAATTCATCAATTTTTTTCATCTTTTTTTTTGATTTTTTGATTAATTTTATTTTGTTTTTGTATTTTATTATTATGACGTAAAAAAAATTAATATTTCCGTTTATCGTTTTATTTTACATAAACTATGATATATTTGTTTTTGTTAATTTATTCGCATTTTAATAAAAAAGAAAATAATAATAAAATAAAGAAAAAATACTGATTTATATCTAATAAAAAGATTTATGAATAAAACGAAGCGTTAAATAATTATAATATATTTTTGTGATAGGTGATCATATTTATTGATTCGATCGATTCTTCTGAATATATTAGTTGGCCTGACTTGAACTCAATAACACTAGTTCCGACATCCCTACTGAAACAGGTATGACCTAATACAATACTGTAAACTCATTTACTCTCATTAAATTGTAAATTTATTTTCATATTTAAGTATGGGAATTCAAAAAAAAGTTTAAAATAAAATCAAAGTACCATCTTAAAATAAATACAGTATATCTTCAAGTGTTAAAAATATTTTATAAAACAAATTAAAATAAACTAAATTATTTCACGGATAAATATATATCAACCTCATATAATTTGAAATACTTCATATTCTTCTACTGAAAACAAACCAGTAGTTTTCCTGATAGATTTTTCGTAAGAATATTTTATACAATTACCTCTACCATTATATAAAGTAAGGTCACTGTTTCCAAAATTTAAACCTGACAAGAAGCTATTAAATGTAGCAAATTTTTCATTATTCACACGACTTAAAATGTGATTTTCAATATTATTATTATCCTTAAAAGAGAATATAAAACTTTTTTTAGTATATCTATAACGATCATCAGATTTCCATGCAATAGGATTGTATCCTCCAAGAATTTCATTACTATTTTTCACTTTAATGATTGTAATAGTATGGGATTGATCATCACAGATTTCATGAAATTTTTCAGTTGTAAATCCATCCCGAGTCCCACGAAATAATAATTTGAATGAAGTTTTTACAGTAGAACTAGTATCCTTGTCCTTAATATCATTATAAATAAATTTTGAAAATAATGAAGTAAAAGAAATTGAGCTATCATAGCTATCATTTGAACTCTTCACATTAATCCATTTCAAAATTAATTCAGCGTGTTGAGATGTGATAATCTTAGAGTCAATATTCTTTGTATTAATTACATTAACATTTTCAACATCTTTAATTATATTAGGTTCTGTATTTTTAATTGGTCGGTTATTAGGTTTCAAGTAACTTTTTAATAAATCTTTATATAATTCCTTTGGTAAAATCTTTTTATAAGGTAATACATTATCTGAGAATTCTTCGGAAGTTAAATTATAGAAATTAATAAATGGAATACATCGTTGTAAACTATTCTTTAAGGTATTAAAGTCTTCCTTTGAGAAATTTGTAGGATCTGAGGGAAGTTCTGGATTTTGAGTATGTCCCCATTTAACCACATGTTCCCACACTTGAATTCACTCATTTGAAGTTTATCGTTTTGAATAAGTTTGACCAAAAGGTTTTCTGGAGATCTAATGATTTGAATATATTATCTGGATTGTTAGACATAAAGTCATTACAATAATCTTGGAGTTCCGAAAAAGAATTGTTTTCAAAAATTGCTTGATATATATCATTAAAATTTAGCTCCATCCATTCTGATTTATTTTCAATTAAAAATGATTGTAGAAAGTTAATTAATTCTTGAAGACTAAGTTCGTTAGCAGCAATCAAAATTTTAATAATATCTGAAGTCTCATATTCATTCAAAGAAAGTGTTCCACTATAAATATATCTAAAAATAAAAAATGATTTGTTACATTTTAATCTTAAAACAAATATTAGTTAATTTAGTTATTTACCTTAATATTATCTGAAAAATTTCAGGTAAAATATTTGGTAATTTAATATGTATAAAAACTTCATCATCTTTCTTTTTATTGGTTGACAGAATTCTTCGTAAATAGGGAGAACGATAATATAAGATGACCTTATGAGCACGGAATATATTTACGTGAGGGTCATTTCCGACTTCAATAGTAATATCATAATATTCATCTTCATCCAAAAATTTTGGGATAAGTTTTGTAATAGTTCAACTTCATCAAGATAATTAACCATTGTATTTTTAATTAATTTTCAAAATACGAAAGAAAGAAAAAAAAATGCAGCATGTTAGAATTTGTACTATTATGGTTACTAATAACGTGTACTACGTGGTACTTACTATTTGTTAAATGATTCGTCAGATGATCATTATTATGACGTAAAAAAAATTTTCGCAGATTGTGTAAATAATTTAGGCCGATCGTTGATTTGGGGCAATCGTAAACTTGGGCACAACATTGTCACCTTACCAGAATTAGAGTAGAATTTTGGGCAGAATTAAAAATGTCATAAAACTCATATTTGCTAATGCTTGGTGCGGTAAGATCCGTAAGAATCTCCTGCGGTGAGATTTAGCATTGCCCAAAAATTTTTACAGATTTTACACAAATTATGGTCAGCATCTTTAAAACAATATTATAAAATGTCCACAAGACCAAGACTTAATCTTATCATGTATAAAACTCTAAAATCAAGTCCTAAATTGGTGGTTAATAATTTTATTATATTTATTTAAATATATTAAATACTATATTCATTTTATTTGCATTTTAATAAAATAATAAACAAAAAAAAATACCGATTTTATATCTAATAAAAAAAAAACAATTTATTTTATGAATAAAATGAAGCGTCTAATAATTTTTATGATCTAGATCATAATCACACCATTATACTGTAAACTTATTTATTCTCATTTAATTGTAAATTTATAGAAATTGTAAAGTTATATAAAAAATAGTTTAAAATAAAATCAAAGTACTGATCATCTTAAAAAATATGTCTTCAAGAAGCAAAGAAACGTATAATATTAAATAATATATAAAACAAATCAAAATAACCTAAATTATTTTCCAAAATGACCTTATGAGTACGGAATATGTTTACATAAAGGTCATTTCCAACTTCAATAGTAATATCATTATACAGAAATTATTGTCATCAACCATTGTAATTTTAATTAATTTTCAAAATACGAAAGAAAGAAATGAAGAATGAAAAGAAAAAAAAAATGTAATGTTAGAATTATGTGTACTATTTATATGTAAGTGATGAAATACTTGAATCATATTGTTAAAAATAAATTAATCTTTATGATTTAATAATTGTAAATTTGAAACTATTAAAAAGTAATCAATTACTAGACAAAAATTCCGGGTTTTCAAAATTAAATTTTTTTTCTTGCAAGTTCGATTTCGATTTTCATCTTTTTGATCACTTCTTTTCTTTTAATTAACACCAATACTATATATTATTAATTAATTACAATCAGAATTTTTACTATTAGGCAATACCGTTTACCATGGATAACTCGGTCTATTGAAACAAATTTTAGACTAGATTTTGCGGATCGTGTAGTGATTATGTTATTAAATTTTTTTTGTTAGTATAACCTATTCCTCAAAGACTATGTAAGGTCCTAAATTAATGATAATTTCATTATAATTTTTAAATATTTTATTTGGTTAATTTTATTTATTCTTTAATAAAATAATAATAATAATGATAATAATAAATTATAACTTAAATATATAAAGTTTTTCCAATAAAATGAACTCCTATGATCTAGAACATATTTATGTATTGACTTTAACTTAACAAAGTTAGTTCTCTATAACCCATCCCTATAAACTTATTTGTAGGATTTCATTTTTTTTAATATAAGAGAATTAAATACTTCACGAAATAAAAATCAAAATAGCATCTTATAATAAATATACCTGGTAAGAAACATGCTATAATACTAAAATAATCACAGATAATTTATGCAAACAAAAATCAATGTCTAATAATTTGAAATACTTCATACTCTTCTACCAAAAAATTATTTGTAGTTTCTCTGATCGGTTTTTCATAATACAATTGACTACAATAACCAACACCTTCATCCAAACTAAGGTCATTCGTACTAAAACTTGATCCCGCCCAATTGCTATTAAATATAGCCATACTTTCATGTTCATACTTTATACGACTTAAAATATGATTTTCAATATTATTATCGCCCTTAAAAGAGAATATAAAACAATCTTTAGTTCCACCAAAACTATTATCAGATTTCCATGCAACAGGATTATATCCTCCAAGAATTTCATTGTTATCTTTCACCTTAATAATTGTTACAGTATGAGATTGATCATCGCAGGTTTCATGGAATTTTTTAGATGTAAATCCATCACGAGTTCCACGAAGTAATAATTTGAACGTAGCATTCACAGTAGCAGGAGTAGTATCCTTGTCTTTAATAAATTTTGAAAATATTGAAGTAAAAATATTCGAGTTATTCATATTAATCCCTTTCAAAATTAATTCAGCGTGTTGAGATGTGATAATCTTAGAGTCAATATTCTTTGGATTAATTTCATTAACATTTTCAACATCTTTAAAAATATTAGGTTCTGTTTTTTTAATTGCTTGATTACTAGGTTTCAAGTAACTTTTTAATAAATCTTTATATAATTCCTTTGGTAAAATCCTTTTATAAGGTAATACTTTGTTTGAAAATTCCAAAGAAGCTAAATTATAGAGTTTAAGTTTAATATGTGGAATATATCCTTGTAAACTATTTTTTAAAGTATTAAAATCTTCTTTTGAGAAATCTGTAGGATCCGAGGAAAGTTCTGGATTTTGAGCATGTCCCCATTTAATCACATATTCCCATACATGTATTGCATTCTTTTGAAGTTTATCGCTTTTAATAAGTGCGAGCAAAAGATTTTCCGGAGTCGAAGAGAGATCTAATGATTTTAATATTTTATCTGGATCGTCAGATATTAAGTTATTATAATACTTTTGAAGTGCTGAGAAAGGTTCGTTTTCAAAAATTTCTTGATATACATTATTAATATTTAACTCCAACCATTCTGATTTGTTTTTAATTAAAAAGGATTGTAGAAGGATAATTAATTCTTGAATTCTAAGTTCATTAGCAGCGACCAAGATTCTAAAAATATCTGAAGTTTTATACTCGGACAAGGAAAGTGTTCCACCATAAATATACCTAAGAATAAAAATGTTTTATTACACTATATATTATAAAATAAAGATTATTAATATATTTTTTTTTTTTACCTTAAGATTATCTGGAAAATTTTAGGTAAGATATTTGGTAATTTAACATGTGTCAAAGTTCCATTATTTTTCTTTTTATTGGTTGACAGAATTTTTCGTAAATAAGGAGAACGATAATATAAAATGACCTTATGAGCACGAAATATGTTAACATTAGGTTTACTGCCAACTTCAATAGTAATATCATAATATTCCTCATCATCTAAAATTTTAAGTAAATTTTGTGATAAATTTTGTAATAAATTATTATCAATCATTGTAATTTTTAAATTCAAAATACGAAAGAAAAAGAAAAAGAAAAAAATTGCAATATGCTAACACAATTATGGCTATTAATGTGTACTTATATGTAAATGATTTGTCAGATGATCATTATTAAAGTCCGTTGATGATTTTTTCTTAAAAGGAAGTACTTGCATGGTGAAAGTCATATAATTATTATGAATAACAGGTTTAAATTAATATTTCTGAAAAAATAATTAATTTCGCAATCTATTATAATTAAATTTTAAATTCAAGCAATTTCTGCTTAGATACTGCAGATCTTGCAGATCGTGTAAAAGATTTACAAAAGTATTCGGATAGAATTTTTGAAAAAGTATTATATGAACAAAAAAAACATGATGAATTAATAATATCGTTTTCTTGAAAATTTAATCGATGCACATTAATTGGATATTATTGTGTTATTCGCTCTAAATGTTAACAGCGTAAAAGCAAGTAGAACGCCCTAAAGTCACTCAGTCACTAAGTTAAGGTACGAGAATTCATAGACTAGTAGAACGTAATTATTTATTATTTAACAGATTAATATCACGACACATCTTAGAGAAGAGTTAATATTTGGTCTTAAAATTTAGTTCCATCCATTCTGATTTGCTTTCGATTAAAAATGATTGTGGAAGGATAATTAATTCTTACTTGAAGCCAAGTATTCTAGCTGCGACCAATATTTATTTAACTACTTAAATTGAATAAAAATATTGCAAAATTAATAAAATTTTTAAATTACTTGAAAAGTTTTCAGGTAAAATAATCGGTAATTTAATGTGTTTAATTGTTAAAGCTCCATCTTTTTTCTTTTTATTAGTTAACGGAATTCTTCGTAAATAAGGAGAACAATAATATAAAATGATCTTATGAGCACGGAATATTTTCAGTGGGCATACTAAGGTTCATTATCAAATTCAATAGTAATATCATAATACACATCATCTAAAATTCAAAAAATGTTGCAACCTTACAATTTATAATTATTTTCTTTACTTGATTTGTTAAATAATTCGATCTATATTATTGTTTTAACAGCATTTCATTTCACAACCTTATTATTGTATGATTAAAATTTTGAATTTGAATTCGGAACAATTGTTCCACTAAGATTTTGTAGTGAGTATTTATAAAGACATGAAAATATTCGGTTTTTAGCATTATTAAAAAAGTTAATATATGAACAAAAAAAAAATGAAAAAAAAAAATTAATAACATCGTTTTATTTAGAATTTAATCAATACATGTTGATTACATAATCTTAAATGTTAAGATGACACATGGTAAGTTCTTTTATTTCGGATATAAGGAACCAAGACTAATAAGTCCTATAATGTTGATATCTGGGGCCGTCCTAAAAGAACCGTCAGTCCAAAACTAATATTATCAATTGGTCAATATATCCAGTCATTATTATTAAAATCATAATAAATATATATTATAAATACCGTTTTTAGTTTTTACTAATTATAAAGTAAATAATAAATAATTGAATCGTTATTTCAAACAAAAAAAATTATAAAGATTTAGTTAGTTAGTTTAATAACCATTTCGTTTTTTCTAATATTTTCATGATCTAATCTTCATTGGCCTGTTTGACTTTAAACTAGTCCCTAGGGCCTAGGACATGAGGACATCAGTCCTGAAACAGGTTCAACTCATCCCTATATATTCATTTGCTATCATAAAGTGTTGTATATACACATAATATATAAACAAGATTTTTATTTTTAATATAATAAATCAAAAAAATATATTTAACTTTGTATATAAGAATTTTGATTATATATATATAATTATATAATGATATTACAAATAAAAAAAGTGTTCGCTATCTTCAGAAATATTAAAACTATAGGTTTTCCTATAGTATTCTTTTAAAAATAAATAAATGTCATGTTAGAAAAAGTTAAACTTTTAGTGAAAAATATCAAATATATACTAACCTTTTTGTTCTATTATATGTATTTTTTTTTTTTTTTAAAAAAAAAAATAATTTTAATTTGAAAGAAAATTTAAAATTACATTCAGACTTCAGTTGCATTTTTTTGGTTCAAGTAAATTATCAAATTAGTATAGTTTACTTTTACTGCTTGCATAATAAACACTTGTTATCTAAATTATTTGTTTTTTTAAACTTTTTCAAGATTTTCATTCCATATAAATGTTGTCCTGTAAAGTTCCATTCATAATATTCTCCGCCAATCCAATCTGCGTAAATTTCAGAATATCGCACTTTTTACGAAGTAAGAATATAATTTACTATTTTATTTTTATTTGTTTATTTATTTTGTATAAAATAAACTCAAGCTATGCGATAGCTTAATTTTATCACTTTTACGCCCTAATGCACATATTAGGTCATTCCAAATTAATTTTTAGTTTAACGACTTTAACGTTCTCCTCCCCCTCTATTTTTGAAAATTTTAAAAATAATTTAAACACATATGTTCACATATGTTTAAATCACTCCTCTTTTCTAAAGTTGAGTTGTACCGAATATTTCCGATTTTACTGAAGTATTATTATGTTTAAAATAACATGTTTGTTTAAATTTAATATTTCCTCCTCCCAAATTTTTCAGCAGAAAGAACGTTAAACTAATTATTAGTTTTGAATGGTCTTATAAGATCACACAACAATAATTAACTTTCTAGATATCTTAGATAACAATACAATAGTGTAACGGTAAATCTTGTAAAGAAACAGTCAATAAATGTAAATATGGACTTTTTTCCAATTTTAGAGCTTTAGAGCACGAAAAATAATAAATTTAATTGATATAAAAATAAATATGCATTGCTTTATGAATGAATCTTACTACGTAAATGGTATCACGTGAAACATCAGACTTGAACAAAAAATACTTACCGTAAATAAACTTTAACACAAACTGATTGATTAAAATCTCTACTTTCATTGGTGTATATAGCTAAATCTTTTTGTTTATAATCTTTACGGGATGAGTAATTTATTCATTGATCCGATTAGCTGAATATACTGTAAATAAATTTATTAAAATTATTAAATGTGAAACAAAAAATTTTAATTGATAACTTATAACTACGCCATTATTATAAGTTTAAATGAAAAATAGACATTGCAAATATTTTTATTAACCTTTTTTTTTTCTTTATTGACAAAACACATAAAAATTTTAAAATTATGCATAATTGAATATAATGAAGCAAAAAGGTAACTGGCCAATTCATTATACTGTATACTCAGTGTATAGTTTCAAATTTTGTATTAGATAGATAGTACTTTCTTGACGTAATGTATTTACTTACGTTGATTTTGGAATTAATTGTTTTTGCAATTATTCCCGCACTGATAAAGTTAAAATTAATATTTGTCCCGTCAAAAACATCACTCTTATTTCCTTTTTTAATACGAGCCTTGAAATATATTATTGTCATGTAATTTAGTTGTACCCACTCATGTCATTACACAAATAATACCAAAAAGTCTGGAGGACTTAAACAGTTTCCGTTTTCCTAGTCTTATAAGATTGTGACGGCTTATAAGTAAAAAAGAAATTATGATGCATAACCAAATTAGCCTTCTAACATCGAGATAGTATAGAAAAGTTCATTGTTAAAACTTTTGTTTACACCTAAAATAGTTTTCTTTTAATTCTTTCGATTATTGAAGAAACCATGCAAACTTATCAACATCATTTCAATCTTTGATCAAGTTTATAACATTAATGTAAAATATTTTAAACTATGTTTGCTTTTTCATTAAAAATTTTTTTTTTTACATTGTGCAGCTGATAGTAGTTAGTAGTTTAAAATTCTCAAATTAGGTAATTTTTATTCCAAAATTTCCGATTTTTTGAGTTAAAGAAACAAAAAATTTTTTGCTTAAAAAAAAATCAATCATTATGGCGGGATTTGACAGTGAATTTGTTTAATATTTTTATAAGATAGTGATATATATTATTGGTCAGTCTATTGGATAATGCTAATTCGGACGGACTAGTATTTTTTGTTAATGGCTAAATATCAAATTCTTTTAATACTAAATTAATTATTTTAATAAGTTTAACATCAAAGCGTCAATATAGACGTTTAAACTATTTTTATTTCACAGAGAAAAATAATTTCAGTACAACAGACGTTTAAACTATACCTTTTATTTATACATGTTCTTATCTGAATGACGCAATAACTATCATTTTTTAAAGGTTTGCTTCAAATTGAGTTTCACTAGTTATTTCACTTTTCTATTTCTTCATTATGTGCTGTTTTTTCATTTAACTGTTTCTTGCTCTTTAAGACAATTTAAGACATTGAACTCTTGATTTTATCTTTACTCATAAGACATTTAAAATGTTTTGAAATATATAGAATAAATTATTATTAGATGATATTTGTAATTTTAATTCTGGATAATTTATAATCATGATTTTTATTAAATACAACAATTTAAATTTTATTTTGAACCAATATACCATACATAAAAAGATAATTTAATAATGTTATTTAGTTAAACTAATTTCTCTGATTCAAAAACTTCATTCAATATTATTTTCATCATCTTGATTCATTTCATTAAGATCTATAAAATAAATAAACAAATAGTAAATATATATAAATAAAGTAACAATAAAATAAACACTAAAGAATAAATATTCTTACCTGATTCATCTAATTGGCAATCAAAACCTTCTGAAACTATAAATCAATTAAATTATTATTAATAAAATATTATTTTATTAATTATATAAATTACCCATAAATATAATTTACTTACATAATGTTGATTGAATAGCACCTATTTATAGAAAATATATAATAATTAGTAACATATTAAATATAACTTTATTAAAAAGTAATTAAATTAAATTACCTGAATTTACTGGTTCTGGAAGATTTTTGAAATTTAAAAGTCTACTAGTATAGATAGCTTGTGGATGTGTTTGAATGTTTTTAGATCTTTTTTCACTTGTTCTGTTTAATTTAATCTTATTATCATATTCATT